TCGTTGCAGCATCCAGCAAAAGAAAAGCTTCCGCTTTGGTGTTAATCTGTTCCTGATTGTCAGCTTAGCAGATATCATTAGATTCACAAGACGGTTTGTGATGACCAGCAAAGAGACAAAAACATGAGTCAACCCCATCCTGGTTTGTTCCCAACAAAACGGCTTGCAGTCTAGGAGAATATCACCAGAAACTGCCAGAAGGAGATTAAGGATAAAGTGCCAAGCATATTTCACTGTAAAAAAAATAATAATAATACTATAACATAAATTTGGGAAGAAACTGAAAATATATTCAAGGTGTAATGTTGAAAATAAATCGTCCCTAGGGTTCACAGGTCTATTCTGATTTGTTTGCATTACTGGAGACTGAACCCAGGACTTCACATAGGCTAGACAAGCGCTACCTACTGAGCGCTGTGTACTTAGTCCTTTGTGTTTATTAATTTGAGACAGTGGGTCAATAAACTACCCAGGCTGAAATCACTCTACTGCACAGGCTGAACTATCTAGATCTTTGTGCCTCTGCATCTCTAAGCCTTTTCCTTCAACTGAGTGGCCGAATTAAGACAGCCGCTGGACGAAACAGTCGGTAGCCTTCTGTGAAAACCCTAGCGCTCAGAATCATGCCACGGTACATGGAGAAAACAGAGCAGGTGACAACTATATAGAGACAATTAAATACATATTGAAAGACTACGTAACATTGCAAAGGGACACACTGAAACACCAAACACCTCGGAAATGAAAGAACAAAGGCATACTGGACCCAACCTGTCACAGCCCCACAGATCTGGCTCCTACGGTCTCCAATCTACTGCTCGTGAGCTCGAAAGCCACCTGGACATCACTGAAGGACAATGTGCTACTGCTGAAGTTGATCAGATAGCAGAGCACCGTGTCCCTTCAGGCTTCGCTGTCCAGACACCGCCTCTCAATGAGGACAGGATTACTGGATCCTTGTGAAAGGAGACGCCACTGCTTTGTGAAACTGGCCTATTGAAATCTCACCCCAGTTGGTTGGTCCCACACACTAAGATAAAAGGAGCACAGGAAATAAAAGCAGGCACCAGCTGTCATTAAGATGAGAGGAGTCTATGCAAGGACTACTATTCAAATATTAACAGTCGCAGTATGAGGTACTCAGGTGCAGTAAGGCAAAGGATGGATCAACATAGTCTATTACTTGATCGACATCTTAAGCAGGGCAACATCAATTTACGTGTTCGCAGCTTAGGCTACGAGTCACTTTCAGAGTGACTTTTTGTGAGCTAGACTCTTCCTTGGGTTCTCAGAATCAAAGAGGGGCCTTTGGTGCCGAGCACATGCTTTACCACGGAGCTGAACCCCAGGACTTGAAGTTTTTGTGAGAAGGCATGCTCCTCCATCTTGGAGCTTAATATAAAATACGAGTAAATGCTAACTAATCCACGGTGACAGAAAGCAGAGTAAGTGGTTGCCTGGAGCATGGAGAAAAAAGTGAGTGAGGAAATTCAAACTTTGAGAAGAATATATGCTAGAGTTTTAAGAACAACTGGTACACTTGTAATAAAGACTTGTTACTCTGGAGTATTAAAAGGCTTTACTAAGTACATCTTTAAGATTAACAGTAATTATTCACCCCACTCTGAGAAACAGGCATAAGTTCTAATATTAACTAATTTACCACCTTGGGAAACTTCCTTCGCATCTTTAAATAGCATCACGTCCAACTTGAACAATATCTCTAGTACCTACAATTTATATAAAATTATTTCCCCAAAATTAAAACACTATATTATTAAAAGGATGCTTTAAGCCAGGTAGTGTGCCAAATAGTGATGGTGCACACCTACAGCGCTCAGGAGGCAGAGACGGGTGACGGATCTCTGTAAGTTCTAGGTCAACCAAGTCAGTTACACAGAGAAACAAACAAACAAAACAAATCTCAAAAATCCCACAAAATTACGTTGGAATAATAAATTCCTGAATAACCTATTTGCTTTAAAATCTTGCTTCTTAAACGATTCAATTTTATCTAAAGCAGGGAATTGTCTACACTCCTCATTTAAAGGAAACTGCAGAATAGAAAACAGGAGTTCTCCATAATGGCTTACATCAGTGCCTTCATGACAAAAGATTAATTTCCCTTACTCTAATTTTTTATGTATCTTTTACCAGCCAGTATGCGCTATGGTCTCCTCCTCTCTTTGCTTCCTGCGTGGCAATGATGTATTTTAAACAGGTTTTATTCCTTGTATTGATATCCTTAGATACGTGAATCTAGTTTAAAAAACAAATTATATCAAGCACACTAAGAAATATATGTAGTAATGTCCACTTTACCTCATAACTACAGAAACACAAAGCAAACAATAAAACTATTTTTATCCCAACAACCCCCACACACACACAACAAAAAACAAACAAACAGAAAGACATCTACACTAGATTTGACACCAAAAATAAATGGACCGAGAAATTTGTTCCATATTTCTATACGTATCTTCTGACTCAAAGTCAGGCTTGGTGTGGTGGTGCATACACGCCTTTAATCCCAGCGCACTGAGGCAGGGGTAGGTGGATCTCTTTGAATTCTAGGTCATCCAGGTCTATACCAGAAATCCAAGGCCAGCCAGGGCAACAGGGAGAGAAAATGTCTCAAGGAAAAATAAACAATAACAAAACGTCTGCTCAGGAATCAGATGGTCAGAGTTGTCGCAGGGATTTGAGATTTGTATCTTCCTTATTCAAAGGTCAGATCAGTCAAAGAGTGATTCTAGCCCCCTTGGAACCACGGAGGGAGGTTAGGAAGGCAGTGGCAACTCTCAGGGGCCATGCACGACTCCTAGTCTGACCTTTAGAATCCACATCCTCATGACCATCACTTGACTAAGAATAACAGCGTCTTATGACAACAAAGGACTTCTGTACTGGCTAGTTATATGTCAACTTGAGACAAACTAGAGTTATCTGAAGAGGGGTACCTCAACTGAGAAAATAGCTCCATAAATCCTGGCTGTAAGGCATTTTCTTACTTAGTGACTGATGGGGGAGGGGCCAGCCCACTGTGGGTGGTTTCATCTCTGGACTATCGATCCTAGGTGCTGTATGAAAGCAGACTGAACAAGCCAGTAAGCACATCTCTCCAAGGCCTCTGCATCAGCTCGTGCACCGTTTGAAATCCTGTCCTGACATCCTTTAGACAATGACAGTGATATGGAAGTATAAAGTGAATACACAATCTCCCCAAGTTGCTTTGGCCATGGTGTTTTATCACAGTAAAAGCAATCATAACTAAGAAAGCTTCCTTCTGAGGGGTCATGAGGCAATCAAGGAATTATACATTGATGATGCCTCATTCCAACTTCCTCAGACAGAACAGAAACTCTCATTCTGAGATCCTATCTTCTGAGCCATAAGGACTAATTAAAAAGGTATTTAGGTCTCACTCTGAGATCGCATCTTATCATCTTATGAGCTATAAGGACTTTAAAAAAGGTGTTTAGGGCCGGAAGTGCGGTGATTCAGTGGTAGAGAACTAGCTTAGCAGAGCAGGGTCTGGGTTTGAGCCCGAGCACAATCGCAACATAAACAAAAGGTATTCAAAAGCGTATCTCACTTAGAAATGAGAGTTGATAAATAATAAACAAAGAACAGTTTTATTTCCTTGTTCCTTTTTTTAGGCCCTAATTATACATAATTATATGTTCAAGGCCTTATCAGCCTTGAACTCACAGCAATGCATCTGCTCCTGCTTCTTATATACTGGGACTGAAAGCATGCACAGCCACACCCAGCTTGACTCTTTTTTAATTAAATCAATGACTTCACTGATTCCATCAAAAAAAAGACATGTAGCCAGGCTCAGAGGTGCGTATCTGTATCTCTGAAAACAATCTTTCTCATGATGCCTGGGAGTACTGTTTGCTTTATTATTTATTTATGATGCACACAGCATTCTGTCTGCATGTCTGCCTGCAGGCCAGAAAACAGCGCCCGGTGGGAATTGAACTCGGGACCTCCGAAAGGGCAGCCAGTGCTTTTAACCACAGAGCCGTCTCTCCAGCCAGGGAGTGCTGTTTTTATCCTATACATAAATGCATCATCGTGTTAATTTTCTTAAAATTATCTAACCTCCTACCCTTAATCTAATTTTTTTTTTTTTTGAGACAGGGTTACTCTGTAGCTTTGAAGCCTGTCCTGGAACTAGCTCTTGTAGACCAGTCTGGCCTCAAACTCACAGAGATCCGGCTGTCTCTGTATCCAGAGTGCTGGGATTAAAGGTGTGCGCCACCACCACCTGGCCCCTTAACCTCATTTATAGGAACAGGCCTTTTGCTCCCCAAGTATCTGTTCTCTGCATCTGTCTCTGTCTTTCATGCACACGCATGAAAACAAGCAGCCCACCACCTTCTATGAATAAGCATCATGTCCCCTCATTGGGAGCAGAATGTCCCCTATAGGCCTATGTTTTGAAGACAGTGGTGCCTTTGGGAGGCGGGGTCTGGCTATTAGAAAGTGCTGAGGACAACAAACCTTTGACAGTTTTAGCTCAGCAGTAGTTCTGCTTCATCTCTTTCTGCTTCTTGGTCAGCAAAAATGCGAAGGGAGAATCTGCAAAACACTTCTAACACTATAAAGCCCCTTCCTTCTCTAAAGGGATGTGCACAAATCTCTTGAGACCATGAGCCAAAAAGAAATCTTTCCTCCTTTAGGCTGCTACTGTCAGGAATTTTTTTCATGGCAACTTAAAAGTTTAGGCCACTTAGTATTTAAAGTGTGTGAGAGAATGTGCCTAGATTATATACAAATACAACGGTGTTTTCTATAACGGCCACGTGCAGATTTTGGTGTCCGAAATGAGGATCCTGGAACAGTCTCCAGAAGCTAGTGCGGAATAACTCTAATTTTAAGTTCACATGCATGTTGAGATCTCTTCACATATGAGAAAAGGCATCCAGGCTTGGCATTTTAGCATTGTACTCCTTGTTTGGGGAGCAAAAAAAAGGCACACATCTCACCTTTTGACCACGAGCTTCAGGGTCTTATGGGAGCCTTTTACCAGGCAGATGGCTTCTTGTCTGAACCCTGAGAGATTCACGTCATTGATAGCCACGATCTCATCTCCAGCTAATAGCTTGTCTGCGGCTGCGGCTTTGCTCCCTTCTTCAATCTGTAACACAGAAAGGGGTCCGTGAACATCCCTAGGCAAGTTCCTTCAAGGCGGCTGGGAATATAACATATACAGGGTTCAAGCAGGTCAGTTTTAGGATTACTTAGAAGTAAAAGGACCTGGAAGCAAACAGGCCCTAGAAGCTGACTTCATTTCCACTGAAGGACCGATAAAACAAGGCTTCTTATTCAGCATCCCTCATCCTGGTCAGTCCCCCAGGACACCGAAGAGGGAATGGAAAGACTCAGAAACCCAGAAAACTGAACACAAAGGAACCAAAATCAGATTCATACTGTGGAATTCCCTTATGGGAACAATATTTTGGATCATTCTTACTCTTTGCTAATTATTTCTCATACATTAATCCTATACCTTGTATTAGTAATATTTTTGAAAAGCAATTCAAATTTCACACATGCACTTGTCACAAAAGCCACGCATTCATTCACGCAGTGTTTGGTTCATTCAGAGTTGCATACTGTCTATCAATTTCAGAACGTTTTCTTGACCAAGAGAAACACCTGCTCATTAAGCAGAATGGCCCCACTATCCTAATCGCCTTCTTTCCTTTCTTCCTTTCTTCCTTTCAGCACGAGAGAATGAACCGAGCCCCACTGAGCTATGTCCTCAGTACTATCCATTCATCACTCATTCATTTACTGAGAAAGGATCTCCCGCTGTAGCCTGGGGTAGTCTTGGATTGACCTTTATAGACCAGCCTTGAATTTAGGATCCCTTTGTGTCTTATTCCAAAGGGGCTGGGATTTCAGGCCTGCACGGCCACCACCACATCCAAACTCTAGGTCTACAAACTTCCCTGCTTTGAGAAGTTCACATAAATGGAGCCATACAATGTATACGACCTTTTAATGTTTAGTTTCTGTAATTTTGCATAAGACTTTCAGTATGCATCTGTGTTATAGCATCTCCTTACTCCATTAAACATGATGGCTAAATAAAATCCATGGCATGAACAAAGCACATTTTCTTCATAGGTTTACCAGCTGATAGTCATTTGTTTCTACTTTAGTGGTTATGAATAATGTGTCTATAAATATTGATATACAAGGTTTTATACAGATATATTTTCATTTCTGTTGGATACACCTACAAGAAGAAATTATGGGTCCTATGGTAACTATATTTAACAGTTTTAAGGAACTATCAGTTCTTTCCTAAAACAATCATAACATTCCATTCCTCAACATAACATTCCATTTCTCATAAACATTCTGCATATCTTTACTACAGCCCTAATCAGATTACGTCATGCTATGGTTATTAAGAGCTTCATTAATCAGTGCTAAGAATATCCCACTGAAGTGGTGTGGGCTCACCAGTGGAGCACTTGCCTGGCATGGGCAAAGGTTCCCTCCTCAGCACAGGGAAAAGAAGAAACACATACATAAAGCTTGACTAACACATCACCTTTTAAAGCTCCTACCTTACAAACAAAACAGAGATTGCTGAACCCGTAGCCAGTTATCTGATCTATAACTTATAGCACTTAGTAGTGACTAAACACCAGTAAGGCCAGCAGCTAACTATAGAGCCATACACATCCTGATCTTCTGCACAAGTGGTTGGCTAGCCAATAGTCCTTGGCCAAATAAAATCCAGCCAGGGGACTTTACTGTCCTTGTTACTTATTAATGAAACTTACCAGAACACAAATACACTTTTAGATAGTGCCACGAAGCACCACTGGCTTTTAGGCCCACAAAGCCAAATACATTTCTACTTTGTCTATTACACCCTGCTCCCCGAAAACTCTTACAAAGAAACAAGAAGCTGCAAAGAACCCGTGTTCTTTACGCCAGCAAACATATGATTGGTGGCACTCACTGCACAATCTGTTGGCTGACTTGTTTGGTTTGGGACAACTAAGGCTCGTCTCAAGCTCGTGATCACACTTCTGTCTCCTATTTTGTGGTGGTGCATACACTTTATAACAGTACTCAAGAGACTGAAACAAGAGATGGCTGGAGTGGTATATTATTTGTCTTTTGACAAATAAATCTTGCCTGAAGACCAGAGCAAAGCTAACGCAACTAGAAGTCAGGCAATGGTGACACACACCTTTAATCCCAGGATTTGGGAGACAGAATCAGATGGAGCTCTGTGAGTTCAAGGCTACCCTGAGCTACATAAAATCAATGAAGAAAAAAATCCAGGTGGTGGTGGCTCACGACTTTAATTCCAGTCCAGGAGAGTCATACACCATTAACCCTAGCACTAGAGGGATATAAAATGGGAGAACAGAGAGAGGCTTAGGGGGCTTAGTTTGCCCGGACTTGGTAGAGGTAAGACTTCTCTGGTGGCTTGGCTGCTTTGCTTATCTAGTTTTTAGATTGAACCCCAATGTGTCTCTGGGGTTTTTATTATTCGTGCTACAGATTGCTACAAGTTTTAGGCCAGCCTGAGCTATAAAATGAGACCCTGAATCTAAATAATTAAATAAATAAATGCACCTACGCATTTTACTAAAATCTCTACCAAGTCCCCAGGAGAACTGAAGTTTTATGCTAAAAGGGCAATTATCCATAACTAGTACTCCCAGCTTGTCCTAAAGGAGCAAGCCTGTAATTTCAGCTACTCGGGAGCTGAAGCAGTAACTTACCAGCCTTTGCTCAGAAACAAACAAACAAAAAAAAAAAAAAAAAAAAAAAAACTGGGCTGGAAGATAGTTCAGCAGACAAGAGTACTTGTTGTCAAGCCAGATGAACAGATTTTGATCCCTAGAATTCATATGGGTAAAAAGAGAGATGCGACATTTGCTCAGTGGAAGAAGAGAACTGGCTCTTGCAAGTTGCCTGGAGTTACACACACACACACACACACACACACACACAGAGAGAGAGAGAGAGACAGAGAGAGAGAGAGAGACAGAGTGAGAGACAGAGAGATACACACATGAATAAATGCAATAATGAATGAAATGTTAATGTTTTTAAAAACTGGGTTGGGGATCTAGTTTAGTAGCGACGAACTTATCTTCATGCATGAGGCTGCAGGTTCAAGTAAACACTCCTGTCAAAACCAGGAAGTAGTCCATCCAATTACAACTCACTTCCAAAGTCCAACTTTTGTTTTCTTTTTTGGGACAAGATCTCACAGGGTCACTGTGACCAGCCTTGCTGTGCAGATAAATCAGGCTGGCCTCAAACTCACAGAGATTCACCTGCCTCTGCCTTTCAAGTGCCAGCACACACAGCAAGTCTAAACAATTTTACCCCAACGTAATAACAAACATACTTAATTTATACCTGACTCGAGACACATATATATATACACACACAGTCAAAATGCACTAATGACATCTAAAAGAAACTAGGTTTTGACAAGTCTCATGGGAAAGACTTAAGAGTGCTCAGGTGGAAAATCATGTAGGCAACTGTCTGTAATGGTAGGACGCAAGGAAAGCCATCCTACCTGTGGAGTGACCAAAAACAGAAAGTATTTAAAGACTGAAGGTGAGGTTGGGGGTACCAACTGAGGCAACTTAGATATAACCCAGACCGTGGAGGAAGAATGGATACCAAGAACAGATCCAGGATTGCTAATAGTGGTGGAAGAGAACACAAGACAAAACCCAGTAAGACGACCCTGGAGCTCGGAACACTTCCCCGAAGTCAGCTGGTGGAATCTGAACATCAGACCTTTCGATCCGTTAGGAGTCTAGTTCTCCAGTTGGTGGGCTGAGAAATAGAAAATATTTTGGACCTTGCTGCTAAATAATTACATATTCCTGATGCAAACAATCCAGATGTCCATGAGCAGGTGAATACGTAAGTAAAATGTGGACATACACACGACATGCAATCTAGCCTTTTTTAAGAAGTGGAGTTCAGATAGAGCTCAGAGGTAGGGTACCTCCATAGCACGCATAAGATCTCAAAGTCAATCCCCACTGTGCTCATGCCCCCCAAAGGATGTTCTGCCATATGTTACAATAAGGATGAATTTTGACATTAAGCAATGACATATATCAGAATTTTTTTTTTCAAAAAAAAAGCAGGTAACTCCATTTATATGAGGTACCTAAGTACCCAAAACCATAGAGATAGAAGCAGAATGAGAGTTTCCAGGGGATGGGAAGAGGGAGGAAGAAGAAAGAGTTAGCACTGAATGGGGCCAGAGTTTCAGTACGAAATGATGGACCGCCGTTAGCACACAGCACTAGTGATGTGTGGACAACAGTAAGAACTACACCTCATGCCGCTGCATCTACATTTCAACATGCATTTTAAATGCTCAATTTTAACTTGGATACATTTTCACACAATAAGTTGTGTGTTCTTCAATATATAAACGGAAGAAAACTATTCTGCCCCAGCATAAAATCGATAGGGGCTGAACTTTAAAACACATCCCAACCCTAAACATTTTAAATTCTACTAACATTGAGAAAAATCTTTAGGAAAGTCATGGTGACAGGGTTATTGCACTAGGAATTGAAGTCAAGATTTTATGCACGCAAGCCAAGCACTCTATAAATACCTCTAAGTTCCAGTTTTTCTGAAACTGTGTCTCACAATTGTCATCACATTGCCCTTGAACTCCTGGACCAGCTAATCTTATGCCTACTTGACACATTGAAAGAAGGGAAATCTCAATTGAGAAAATGCCTCCATGAGATTCAGGTGTAAGGCATCGCCACGGCTTACAATTAGAATTCAACAGCAACACTAATTCCAGAAAGCCCAAAAACACATGGAAATTAAACAATGTTCAGCTGAATCATCAATGCATCAAGGAAAAAAATAAAAGAAATTAAATATTTCCTAAAATTCAACGAAAATGACCACACAACATACCCAGATTTATGGGACACAATGAAAGCAGTGTTATGAGGAAAGTTCATAGCAGTAAATGCCTACATAAAGAAACTGGAAAAATCCTGCATTAGTCAATCAACAACATTTGAAAACTCTAGAAGATAACGAAGTAAACTCACCCAGGAGGACTAGACAGCAGGAAATAATCAAATTGAAAGCTGA